AAAAAAAAAAAATCTAAAGATAAAAAAGTTACTTTATATAAAAAGACGTTAACTAAAAATTATTATATTCGGGAAAATAAATATCCAAAAATATTTTTTTCTAAAATCCAACTAAAAAAAAAAAAATACAATGAATAAGGAATAAAAACGAAAAAGTAAACAACGAAAATACGAAAATAAATTTATATATTTTAATAAATAAATTTTTTTTGTCGGTTTTTTTTTTATTTACTAAAATTTGTTGTTTCCTACATTTCATTTATTTGATTATAATGATTATGAATTATTCTACTCTGACATATTAAACACATGTAAAAAGAATTAATGTAATTTCCTAGAGGAAATTTATGGAAAACACATGGAAAGAAAAAGAATAAGAAAAGGAAAATGAAAGATTATTCTTTTTCTCTAAAGAATAATAACTGTAACAAATTGTTTAGATACCATTTAAGGATACTCATTTTACATATTCTTAGGTAAATGGTTCTTTTTGTTTATCATGCATATACTATTTCTTTGTTTTAAAAACAATGAGAATTTTTCTTCGAATCAGAGTAAGAGTTATGGAATTGTGAATTAAAAAATGAATGTTTGAAAAGGAAATTACATAATCAAATTGACAATAAAGAAACCTTCTAGAAGGGTTACCTTAAACACTTATTCCACTTATTCAGGCTTCATACCTTTTACAAAAAGGAAAATAACATTCCATCTTTGGTAAAAAGTATAACTGTAGCCCATTTTCATGAGTTCTCAAGGATTGTTCGATTTTTGGTAATATACGGCGTAAAGAAGCATGACGACGATTAAATTCGCTTTTTTGAAATTACCAATAATGGAAATTTTATTTAACACATGGACATTTTGCTTTATCTTACCTTCCTATAATGGATGAAAAATTTTTTATTCGTTACAATTTTTTTTAAAAAAAACTGCCTGTTTTATAAAATAAGTAAAAAAAATGTCTCATATTTACTATTATGGTAATTTTTATATTTTTTATTTTATGATTACTCTTTTTCATTATTTTCATTATTTTTTAATGTTTTCATTATTAAATTTTTTATAAATACGACCTAATCAGTTCATTAAATTTTTGAAAAATTGAAATTGATCTTGTAAATTAAAGATCTAACAGATCAATTTAATATATTTCTACGTCAAATAAAATATATAAAAAAAAAATTACAATGCCGGTTACGTTTTCAAAACCCATTCAAGACATTCAAGGCGACTTGTCTGCAAGAGTCCTTACAGAAAAAGAGGACGAGTTGGAAACTCTTATACTCTTATTTGAAAGCAAAATTGATAATAATAAAATGCCTACAGCTAATGAAATAGTAAAGCATCAAGATTCGAAGAAAAAAATCAAACGTCCGCCAAATTCCAATATAATCTACACAAACCAGCTCGGAAAGTGCGGGCTATTAGATATTATCAGGAATTTTTGTGATCATCATGGTATAAATAAGCAAAAATTAGTCCCCATTTCCAAAAAAGTAAGCAAAACATTATGGGAAAGACTATCACCAGTTCACCAAGGATTTTTTGAGGAATTGGCTTTAAAAGTCAGTAAGGAACATAAATTAAAACATCCAAATTATAAGTATCAACCCGAAAGAAAAAAAAAGAAAACACCCACATACAAACATTATGATCCTGAGAAAAAGTTAAAACATAATACCGATTCAAATCATCACGTGGAAAATCCTTCCGCCGATAATGAAGTAAATGAGCAACAATATGAAGAATCAAATACATCAACCGATAATGAAGTAAATGAACAACAATATGAAGAATCAAATACATCAACCGATAATGAAGTAAATGAACAACAATATGAAGAATCAAATACATCAACC